TAATGACTGTGGCATTGGAGCTGATCACGAGATAATGGCAGTTTTAATGAAGAGCAATCTAAATCAGTTCTACTCACGCAACACCCAAATTGAAAAAGCACTGAAAATTAACATGAACTCTAAGATGATGATACAATTAGCAAGTGAAGCTTTCTCTGTGTGATATCAAACTAGTTTTTGCCTGTGCTCCAAAAGAGGCCCTAAATGTTTTAATGAGCTGACTGACATAAACAACCATACCTGTCATCCATTCTGGATTTCTCTGTCTCATTGTCAATGAATAAGTAATACTGTGTGGTGAAGTGTTCCTATAACATGAAAAAGCAAATACCACTACTCAGATATTCTCTCTAATGGTTATGGTATGGCTATGGTAGACTTTTGAGTCAGAGATTTATGAGGGACATTGGAATTACAGAGAAGGAACCCACCTGGAATCCACAGGAAGTGGAAGGAGCAGATACTGGGGTTGTGGCCCTCATTCCAAACTGTTTTCTGTGCCGCCTCCAGCGGTGGACTGAAGTACCTACAACCATCAGAGCTGCATGATTGCCCTCAAATTTCCATCATCATCTCACAAGCCACCTGCTCATCTTAGTAGATCATATTTTATGCCCAGATCCTGACATCTCAACAACAATTTGTCAGAGTAAAGTTTGATCAGTTGTTATGTATCAGTGTTTCACACTATGAAGTGTCATAGGTGTCATGTAAGTTGATATATTAATAAGCTGCCCTTATTGTTATAAGTTTATAATAGTAACAAATAATAATGACAAACTCGTTAGATTTTCATCAGCTGTATTTTCTGAAGCCGGTGATATCTATTTGCAAAGTGCTGATATTGTTCAAAGTGCAAAATATTTAATAGTAGTACACTGCAGAACAGTCAAAGTTCAAATATTTTATGTACAAAGTTGTCAATTCTTCTGTCACTGCTAAACAAGATACCAAGCTGTCAATGTGTGTTGATTCTTAAAATCTGTTGAAGCAATGTGGAGGTTAGGAAAAGTCTCTGATTGTTCACCTGTCCTTTCCCCTGAGGCTTGAGTAAAGTAGTCAATGAAGCGGGGGAGAACGTTCCCACGGCTGAAAGATCTGAGGTCTTAGATCATGGTTTCGACCCATTCATTGTTTTTAAATACTACTTTTTGGGAAGCTTTTCTAAATATTATCCAGTACTCACGCTGTAATTGCCCAAGATAAACTCAAAAGGAGAGTAAGAACAGAACTTGATGTCAGAAATGATATGTTTGTGTGAGGATAGTCCCTCTGTGCCTGTTCATATACTGTCTGTACCACCCTGGGCATGAGTCCATCCCAGCGCTGGCACACAGATGTTAGCATCTGTGGCGCAAGTGATTTTTTCAAATTGCTAATGAGCTAACTAATCACCTGGCTGTCTCATTGCACCCTGTTTTATTTGCCAATTAAAGGGCAGTGATACAGATGGGATGCATTTTCAGAGGAACTTGACTGGATGTTTTCAAACTCAGGAAGAGTACCTGCACCTGCAGAGGCAATGAATTAGTTATTAAATTATCATGGAGAGGGGATGTGATTATTGTGTTTCTGTGATTATACAACCAGAGCTTCAATCAGGTTATGGTTGATTTAAATCCAATTATTTTTAAATGCTGCACCAAAGGGCTGTGTAATTTAGCCTCTGTTATGATCTAGCAATAACTGTTACAATCCAGGCTACAACAAGAAAATTTTTAGATTCATATGGAACTACATGCACTACCCTTTCTCCAACTACCAGCCTATTTGTTATCAGGAGGTAATGATTGGAGTTGCAGTATCTTAAACTTCAGGGTAAAGTAGCCAGACAAAACAGAAGGCCGTATTTTGGCCTCGATACCTTAAAGTATGATTCAGACACCGCTATTCAATAAGGAATCAAAACCAAAGAGTCTGTTTTTTTTTTTTTTTTTTTGAAGCTGATTAGACATTCTGTTGTGGTTAGGTAACCAGCTCACAGCAGTCAAAGTCTGCTATAAACCCCAGAATGCATTTTACCATCTCTGTCTGTTTGTTCAAGGGCAATGTTTCAGAGCAGGCACTGTGCAGATCCACTCGTTTTTATATTATATGCACTAAAAACTGAGAAAAGAGGCTGAAATTCTGGAAAGTTGTCATATTTAGCTAAAGTCTGCAAAGAAAACAATCATTTTTGGTGTTGTGATTTACATTTGGCAGTAGTTGGCAGTGGTTTCAGATATTTCTTAAGTTCTGCTCTCCATCAGCAGACACTGTGGCAGCACACACACACAGAACAGCTGCTTAAATCTGCATCTCCACCAAGGTGAATGCAGCTGCTAATTAAGAGGATCTGTATGCTATCATGCACCTGGGAAAGAATCATTCATTGCAGTACAGCCCAGAAATAGACCCAGCTGCCAAAAGAGACGACTGCTACCTTTTCCCAGGGTTGCTCATATTTCTTTCAAAGAAAGAAATACTAGCAAAGACCTTTCAGTACTATTTATTGACTGTATGGCAGATGTTTTTGAAAATGAAAGTGTCCTGATTCCATACTGCGCAATGTCACAAAAAGCACACTGCTTCTGGCCATGTCCAGTGTCATTCCCAAATGAGAGCTGAAAAAGACCAGTTCTTGCCTGCCAAATACCTGGAACTAAAGTAAATGTGACAATAACCATCCATGCTGGAGTATGCCTGAACTCAAGATAATGCAAACACATTAGCATTATCTTATCCCCTGAGAAAATGTTTTACATCTGAATGATTTCTTATTTTGGTGACCACAATTCAAAATCAGATGTCACATCAATATTTTTTTTCATGGGTTTTACCCACATATCAGATGGAATAGTGTAGGGTTTTTCAAGAAAATGGTTTTACTTTGCAAAACTGCTTCTGTAGATATGTTAATGTCACTTGCCAAACTAAATGCAACAGATGGAATAGTCCCTCTGCTTAGACTGGTTTTTCAAAGGAAGGGAATTTGGTTAATTGCCAAAAAATGGTATTGTTTACTTTGCAAAACTGTTTCTGAGGGCAGATATGTAAATGTTTCTTTTGCCAAAGTTTCAGGGTAAATGCAACACTGAAGATACCCAACAGTTTTATTCTTTTTCTGAGTTTCATTTAACAAATGTCAATTTTGCACAATTCCTCTGCTTAGAACTGGTAAATAAATAATGTTGCAATGTTTAATGAAAAAATTTGTAACTAAAATGTGTGCTGCCAATAAGACACGATAGTTCTTGGTTTACTGTGTTCATATAAACCCTTATTCAACTATACCAGAACAAGTATGTTTTGTTGTATTTTTATTTTTAGTACTTTGAATTTAACCTGAGTGTGGGTCAGGACTGGTCTCTGCTGGCACATTCTGCTATGATACTCACCCAGGCCAAAGGTGGTCCAAACTGTACCAGTGTTTTTGCATTACTGGTTATTAAATTACTGTAGAAGACATTATGTAATGGTGAGCAGACAGAGAAGTGAGTGTCAGCTAATTACCTAACATTAATCCCTTGATTTATTTCCTCAAATGAACAGACTTAAAATAGTTTCAAATTAATATATTATTGGGGAACTTCAAATGACTGCCAATTTTATTGCCAACTAGAATTCATGCAGAACAGCAACACATAAACCCACCTGTGGAAAGCGTGTGCAAATGAATCAGCTATTGTATGATCATTTTGTCTCTTTTGGGTTTCCATGTTTCTGTTGTTTTCCACCTTCCTTCCACACAGATAGATGTCTGATTTACAGGGAAATGCTGCAGTAGTTAAAATGTGCATATTTTTTCAGATGATGAACCCCAAATGCTTCTGTTACTTTTATAGTCCTTTTGTTCTTTCAGGCCATGCCTATCTTATCTTTCAGTGTAATGTTAAGGGAAGTATAACTCCTATCAAATATATTTTTAGTTTAAAAATAGCAGGATTGTACTAAAGTAAAAAAATATGTGTAATTTAACTATAACTTAATTTAATTCATATAAAATATTGAAGGTATAGTTAAATGACTTTCCTGGTTATATATAGAGTATGACTTGTTTCCAATATAGATGGGTAAGTTTGGCTCAAAGTTTGCTTTCATTTACTTTGTACAAAGCCCACCAGACATGACAAAAGACCTCCCCATTTGGCTTGTGTAGAAAGTGAAGTCTACAGCGTTAATGGTTTTCTCTCCGTTTTCTCATAGTAATAAATGGTGTTTTCATATATAAGCTAGAACCAAAAAAGAAACAGTGTTTTGCCTTTCAGCATGTTTCTCATTTCCCTTTCTCAGCAGGTATGAGGAAACAAATTGATAGAAGAGAGAGCTCTTGAGCTCTGTACGACCCATACAAACCGTCATCAGCCATCCTGCTGTTAGCAAATGGCACCGGCAGTCACTGCAGGACATTACGGCATGCAAATGTTTTGTCTTTGGTTGCTGAGCAACACGCTTTACCCGTTTTCATGCTTTACCGAAAGACATAATTGCTGACAATGTAGTCAAATCCCTGGTAGGAAGACGAAGGGTATTCCCAAATACAGTTGAACCTGCAGCACACACTTTACCTAAGATAGCTTCCTCACCTTCACAGAGGTGAAAATGGATTTTCAAAAAAGGCTGATGTAGCTGTACTGCCTGTTCAGCCAGGTGGGTCTTTAATGGATAAATCAAGATATCATACCTGTTCTGTAGTGGGTATATTACCTTACAGTGAAAGAAATAAAAATATGATTTCATATATGCATATGAATGCAGAAGGAAATTCTATTTGATAGTGTGCATCAATGTATATTTCAGCAAGTAGGCATTCTGCTAAGTAACTGGTTTGTTAAATAGTTCTGTGCATTAAAATTAAAACATCTACATCTGAATAGGACAGTGTTCGTCACAGTAACATTCATTTTTACATGCAGAGTGACTTTTTTATTTATATATTTAAATGTTGCATATTATCCATTTATACAGCTGAATATTTTATGGAGGCAATTTTAGGTTAAGTACCTTGCTCAAGAGCACAACAGCAGTGCTCCAGCAGGGAATCGAACCAGCAGCCTTTCGGTTACAAGCCCTACTTGTTACCACTAAACCACACTGCCACTTCCAGTTTGCATTTGAATAAATACAGAGATGCCAAATAAAATCACTATTCAATATGCTCATTTACTCATGCAACGTACAAGGGAATTGTTAACAAATACAAATAGTTTTTAAAAGATAGAATTATATGGAATGCTAAGGATAGAGCTTATGAAACAGCAATGCCCGGACAGTGTTTCTTTAATCTTCTTTAATTTTCTATAACGATGTGCTTGATATCTAACCTTTCCTCTCCCATTAGTCAATTGTAATTGTCTTGTTTTTCCATTCTCTTAGATTTAGATCAGCTGTAGGTATGCTTCCGTTATAATTTTCAGTTTGCTGATGGGACGCTTAGTCTGCGGTAAAGAGCTGATGCAGGAATCGACAGTAACTCCACTGCCAAATGCAGGGACAGTACAGTGCAGACAGTGCACTTTGGTCCACAAATCTGAAAGTTCAGCCCAGGCTTTATGCTTCTTCTACCCTCAGATGTGCTGGATCCAGGACTGCAAGAAAAGTCATTCTCCAAAGATCACATTCTGTTTACAAATGTGTGGTCCATTGTTTTTTACTTGCTGAAATCACTTTGAGCACCCATATATTCCCTTTTGCCAATTACTTGTCAAATAAAATCATAGTGGTGCAGTTTTATTGTGCGTCATAAATGAATTTTCACTGTCTCCAAAAACATTTCGTCTCAACCTCAGATCTCCCCTGTGCCTTTGATTCAAAGAGCCAGTCACAGCTGAGCGTGGGTAGACAGCAAGGTCCTGCCTTCTTGTTATCTGTATGACAAGGAGGCAGCACTAACATCCAATAAACACTCCAGGACCTGAGACCAAACCCCGTCACTGCAACAGAACATCAAATATCCTTTACCTCTATCTGTTTTTCTTTGCTCTGAGAATCTGCATAATGCTGATGGACACACACAGGGACCATGGCACAGAATGGATTTTGAGATAAAAGGTAAAGGAAGGACACACAAAGTAAACAGTCTGAGATGTGACTTACATTGGCGTACAGCTGTTCTTGAGGTTTAGTGTGACTCAGTAAGCAATGTCCAGCGGGTTTGGAGGTCCTGAGGAGTGTCAGGATGAACTCTGTCAATGTCTCTTCAGATCGGTATTTTGTGCATCTTATATATTTTTGTCGACCGCTCATTAAGCTACTGGTGTTGACTCAGATGTCAGGCCCTTGGCTGCCCACATTGAAGAATAGCTGCCATTATGGGATTGATGATGACTAATCAAAAAAGAGTGCAGAACAGGTCATAAGACATACATGTCCAAACATACTTTAAAGAAGAATTTTTAATGGTTGATTCTGCCCAGCCATTATGGGGTAGGGGTAATAATGTTATCATGAATTACACTTTCACCATTATCTGAGTTTCCACTCCAGGTCTGCCCTGCTTTTACACAATGCCTGTAGCTTTAATGGATCCACACAGCACGGCCATTTTGATTACTTTGCACAATATATATTAGTGCATGAACAAAAGGCTAGTGTGGACGCTTGCTGTACGGGAATAGAATTAATCACATTAAATAAAATGATGGTTTGGCTTTAAGAGAGTCTTGGAGGCTTGGCATCCAAAATGACATCCTAATTACAGACTAATCATTGAGCGCTGAAGCCACGATGGTGTCTGAAAAGGCGTCTGCATTCGCTGGGGAATAATGGGAATGAAAGGGCCGGGCCCCCAGACACACACCTCATCTGAGGGCCGGCGGGCTCTCCAAAGGGTGCTCACAAAGAGCCCTAATGGAGGAGACATTTTCAGACAAAAAGAGAGAACGACACGGTGTGGGCAGCGGGCAACATCCCTCCCAAAACAACATGGTAAGAGGTCAGCTGTGAGCCGGACCTTAATCTCTACCACAGGGAGCTCTGCTCTAGAGCATCTTTAAGTAGGCAAAGCAACAAAGAAGAACACACTTGTGCCATTAGCCAGCCGTGGTGGGCCGTTGCTCTTTATGAAGCACCGGTATGTTTTGAAAATCATCGGTTCAGTGTTTATGTTAGAATAATGATGGATTATGTGTTTGAATCCCTGCTAATCTGTTTTACAGTGCAATTACTGTCTTCACAGAGGGTTTTTGTCCTGTGTTATACTGAATTGCAGTAAAACATGTAAGCAGAATGGAGCTCCAATTGATGAATGATTTTTGTAATTTTGTTCAGTGTTTTCTATTTATTCAGTGTTTATGGACATGTGTACTTGGTTTATTGAGTAGCATGCTCCACAAACACATGCTCACCAGTTACATGAATCCACAATTTCATATTAAAAGTACATTTTCACCACACTAATAATGTCAATCTTTTAATTCCTGAAAATAGTTTTGACATTTTCTCTGCTGCTTCTAGTCAGTGATTTCCCTCCATTATTTATACACACTCATACATTTCGTTATGAATAAATGCAGAAAATGATTAAAAAAAAAAAGCTAATCATATTATTCTGTATATTCGAGGCCACACAGCTGTAATGCTGTAATGATACTTCTGCCTTTTTATGTTGAGTAAGTTTGATCTGGAAATCATCTTAATTATATTTGTAGATATGAGTTTCATCTGAGGAAAACTTGTGTTCTGCTCTGGGTCTCAAGCCCTCACTCACTCTCATCCATGTGTGATGAAAATGATGAACTTGACTGACTACAGCTCCTCCTCCTATAGCCCACACATTTTCACTACAGGACCTAGAAAGGTCTCATACTGAGGAAATGGCCATTAGGAAGGAAGAGAAAGACAATGGAACAAAGTAACTCAAAGAAGGAGTTTCAGAGGACAGAATGATTATCAAGCGCAAATACCAAGCACAGGGTTCAGCATTGATGATAAAAATGTCTACATAATTATTTACTAATTAACTCTGCTTAGATATTGCATCTCTGTGAGTGAACAGTCTCTTCTTGAATGACGCAACATTTACATAAAGATACATAAAAAAAAGGCTTGAGCTGAGCAGAAAGGAGCATAACGTCACAGAGCTTAATCTTTCACAGGAGCTCCTACGGTTGAATAAAGCCTTGAATGGTCTTAGCAGGAGGCTTTCTTATTTAACACAATGAGAAAGGTCACTCACAGAAGAGAAGAAAATACATAGCATTTTGATTAGGCTGATTCTGAAAATGTATGGGGGAAGTGAGGAGCTTTGGGATTAACTGTGAACCCTTCTTATTTCTCTCCTGACTTTAAGTGATCTTTAGTTTTGAGGACACCTTATGGAAACTTGACATTTGCTGTATAGACACCAGTCCAGTGCCCTTAAGGTTGCTGTGGCAGAAGTAGGTTATGTTTTCAGTCTCCAGACTAGTGATAACCAGTATGTACTCATTGACTCTGTCTTTGGCACTTATAGCATTACAGAGATGAATGGCCACCAACCCCATGAACCATGCTCAGATGTGAACATGACATGACATGTAAATGCTTGATTCTGCATAAAGTAATGAGCATTAAGAAAAAAGATGCCTGAAGATCAGACACATGGTCACAGGATCTCGTTGTTCTAAATCACTCATCAGTGGATTGGAGACCATTTAACATCATGGTCTGCTGCTATCGATGATCCGGACTGTTGTTCATAGTGCAGAAACACATCCGTGGTCCGACATGCTTAAGCCATTAGTTGCGTCAGTGGTGGATCCTACAGTGAGGAGCACAAGAGATAAGGAGAGAAAGAGAGACCTAAAAATGACTGATTCTGATCTTTTTGCAGGCTATCACCACAGATATTTAGGGGGATGGAAAAAGGACTTTAAAAATGCAAGTTTTGCTTTGTTGCACAGTACTTGTCAGGGTTTCAGAGACTTCTGCCCACAACAACCAACAGGCATCTTCATAACTGCCTTTTGGGTCCTGTTGCCTGCTGCTTCCCCAGTCTTCCTCCAGAGGGCCATTCTTCCTGTCTGTGCCTTGCCTAATTTAGTTATATATTTTTCACCTGTGTGTAGTTAGCCTAGTCATGTGTATTGTGTTCTGTATAAGCCATGCCTGTTACTTTGTTCAGTGCTCAGTCTCAAGCTATTCTGCCTTGTGTGCTTTTCTGTGCCCTAAGGTTGGATGTCTCTAGTCAGTGGTTAAGGTTCTTTGTCTTTTATAAGCTCTCTGTGTTTTTGCATGACCTCTGCATCTGGATTCCTCCTGCTCGACTGATACAGTTCTTCTAAATGGTGCAGCTGTCTACTAGGGGAAGTTGTACAAGAATGCAACAGTTAAGGGTGCAGAGTAGAAATCTAGACAATCAAGCTTCAAGTAATGAGACTCACTCTGACACAAGTATAAACAGATGAATATGACCAGCTATAAAATGCATTCTTCATTGAGAGCAGATAATGAACGTAACAGGCAATGAACATAAAATCTGTCAGGCAAAAATGCTGTGTTCAGTAATGCAAATTGCAAATTGTGTAGCTGCTTTCCTGAGCTATACACCTTATATCTCAGCATGAGTTTTAAAAAAAGAGACTGCCACCATGCAATTACAGCACACACTCTGCCTCTGAAGGAACCAAACCTGGTCTGAACAAAGCTTGCACACTCCTGAGCTTTGCATTCTGGAAAGCAGCAGTTGCGCCAGCTTTTACCTGTATGCTGAAAAAGTTCTACTGTGAGCACAGATATGCAGAGCTTCCAGAGCTTATATCATTTTGCAACATTTGGTTGGTCTAATAACTGGGACAGGCAGTATCATGCACATTCAGCACATCACCATAGAAACAGAGACGATGTGGCACCCTTCATTGGACTGCCAAGCAGCACCCATCTCCCTCTTCGCCCTGCTGAGTGTAGTATCTCCCTTTCCAGACACCTAATGGGGCATCCTAATGATCAGGTACAGCTGTGCAGTACAGTGGTACGGTGGAGGGCTCATGACCCAAAAGATTGTTGGATCAATTCCAAGGTGGGCCACTGCTGTCGTACCCTTGGGCAAGATACCTCGCCTGAGCTGCCTCAATAAATATCCAGTTGTATAAATGTGTAACATGAAAATTGCAAGCTACCA